AGATAAGGTTTTTAACGAGGCAGCATAAACGCACATTTAATAGTGGTAATTCTAAGGGGGAGTATTATACATAAGTGGAATCTTACCACTATTAAACATTATCATTGTAATTATTATATTATTAGTATGCGTTGCATTGAATTGTGTGCCCAAAATGTGCCTATAAAAGGCAAGTGTTTCTTACAATTTATGTATGAAAAAGTAGTGAAGAAGGAAAGATATTTCAGTACAATTGATATCCGATTTTTATACATTGTATTCTTTATATTCCATAACCAAAACTAGTAGACTCCATAACCAAAATCCCTTATTATCGTCTCTTATCCAAGTATCTCTCCCCTGTTCTGTGCTCTAGGGTTTGGACGGAGGCAATTTGCTCTAATTAAGTTCTTCTCTGGTATGTTTTTCATTGCAGCTACACTGAACAAGCGTTTCTTGTCTTTATTTTTTTTTTGTTAAAGTTTGCGTACAAAACATTCTGATTAGGGTGTTTATTTCAAGAAGTGGGTTTAGAAGGCGCCAATTGTTGGTGTTACAATTTCCCCCTTTTCAGTTTGGTCGACTAAATTCCCGTATAATGTTTTTTCATGTGAGATCATGTTAGACGAGGTTTTGCTAATGTACTCGTCAAAGTGCAATTGTGTATACTGTGCTTGAAGTTCCGCAGTAATTCTGGTGGAGCTCTTGGTGATCATTGCGAGATTAGATTGTTCAATCAAGTGAGTTGCAATATTCAAAATCCATACTTAGCCGCAGAGAGATGCTCTTCCGCGTCGCCTCCTTATCCCCTAACAAGACCTCCTTCATCCTTTCCTGCTTCTCCAGAACCACTGATTCACTGTTTTTCCATTCCAAACGCTTTAATAATCTCCAACGCAACTACGTTTGGTTTACGGTGAAGCACATTGACACAAACCAACCAAAGAATCCCATTTCAATGGCGATAAAGGCTACACACAATTATTCCACCACCTCCGCCCAAGCCCTTGTCCAGGAACCTCCGAATTCCGGCACCCGAAGATCCCGTAAGAAAGCACGCCGTGAGTCCCCAGAGATTATTCTCCGTGTGAACCTCGATCAGTGCTCCAGCAGCGGCGACTTGGATAACGCCCTTCTCTTGTACAACG